AGGTCATGATCTCACGGTTCAGTTTGTGAGTTCAAGCCCTGCATCTGGCTCTGTGCTGTCAGCTCAGAGCCTAGAGCCTGTTCCGGATTCTTTGTCTCCCTCTTCTCTCTGCCTCTCCCCTGCTCACACTCTGCCTCAGTCTCTCTCTCTCTTTCAAAAATAAATAAACTTTAAAAAAAAAAAAAGGCAGTTGATGCAGATCCCTCCCATTCGCTCAGTGGAATGAATTTGTTGAGCCCCTATGTTCCAGGGGCTGGGAATAGGAAGATGAAAAGCATGTGGTTGCCTCTCCCCCAGATGCTTCTGGATTTTTGCATATAGTGCTCTCCTCTAGGACAAGCATGGAGGAGCATGTTCTGGCTAGAAGAAATAGTATGAGTGAGGGTCCGGTGATGACAAGGAAGCTCCTTGCCTAATCCAGCTGGTGGACAGGCGGATCTGAGACAGTTGCTGCCCGTCGGCATCAGAGTCCCGGGGCAGAACTTGTTAAACCACAAACGCCTGTCCCCCCACCGGCCTCCCACTGCATGGTGGGGCTGAGGTGGGACCTAGGGTTTCCATTCCAGGTGATGCAGCCACCCCTGTTCCCAGAGCCGACTCGGTGTAACGGAGCGAATGCAAGTGTGGACGCTGCCCCAAATGGAGGTATCAGGATAGGACTTCAAGCAGGGATGGGACTTTTGTTTATTCTTCAAGAATTCTTCATTGATTGTGTACCTACTATGCTTCTGACTCTGGACATACCAAGAATAATGATAATCCAGTTCCTGATCGCAAAAGGTTTTTAGCCTGGTGGGGAGGCAGAAAACCACGGATGATCATAAGCCATTGTGGTGAGCGTCAGAGGGAGGTGTGCACGGGCTGTGACGTAATTGCAGGGAGGGTGCTGCACAGGCCGGATGACACCCGGATGCACAAGCCAGGCATGGCTGCCTGAGAACCCACGGCCCTGGGTAAGATGGATTTGAAGGTGGGGCAAGGGCAGGTGACAGTGAGACTGAGCAGCAATCACCCAGGGATCAAAGGTGGTCTCATTTCTCTCCCTTTCTTGGTCGCCCAACTCCACCACTGAATAGCGTGTCTCTGTACCAAAGCGCTACCTCTTTAGGGTCTTAGTTTCCCCACTCGGTGAGATGCAAAACTCAGCAGTCATCCCTCAGACCTGGAGGTACTTACAGGAGCTGTCTCACCTACAGTGTGTTCTAACTCACCAAGCAGCCCCATTCTTCGAGTCTCATGCTCAGTACACGTTTGTGGAAGATGCTGATTTTAAATGATGATGCTTTTTAAAAATCAAAATAACAGCACCTAGCTTCCTAGTGCTGAGCATATAGGAAATGTTTGACAACAGGTCCGATCATAATTGTGAGCCACTGTAGCACAGGTGTGAGGGGGAGTCGTGCAAACCCCACTGTCCAGCCCTGTATGGGTAGCTGCGGTCTGTCAGCAGCTCAGCCCTCTGCCAGCCCCCAAAGGAAAGGCTGCCCCCCAGCCCCCTGCTTCAGCAGTTCCATCATGGGCCTCATCAGTCAGGTGGCCCCTGTATCAGATAGGCTGCATTGCTCTGTGAGTTCTCTACCTAACTGCCCCTAGAAAGGACAGAGCTGGCTCTTCTTTTCAGGATGCCAAGGTCGCAGTCTGCGAATGGCTAGTGCCAGTTTTCAGCTCCATCCCTTAGTGTGTGAACACTGAGAGAGCTTTTACATTTCTTCAAACCCCAGTTTGCTCATCTATGAAACAGGTATAGTAGCACCAGCTTTGGAAGGTTACTGTAAGGTTAAAGCCATAGGTGGTAAAGGCCAGCATAAGTAGATGGTGGAGCCAGGATCCTAACCTAGTTAGGTTGTTTCTGGTTGTTTCTGTGTTCTCTTTCCACTGGCTCATCGCACAAACAAGGCCCTGGATGCCCACTCAATGCCAGGTGCTGTGCTAAGTCCTGGGATTCAGTAGTGAACCGGACGAGGTCCCTGCCCTCATGCCACATCTCATTCTGCACAGGTCACCTTCTTCACAAAACAAGCATCTGCTTCTTTGCACTTGAACTTTGGTTGTGGTCGTGCAGGGTAAATACAAATCTAAAAAGAAACAAAATCGATTTTCCCTGGTGCAAAAGGAAAAGAACCGCTCCTTTCCCTTCTTAAAGAGCATTTACTCTAGAAAACTTGTAAATTCTTTGTCCTTTTGAGATGTGTGTAAATGTTTTCAAAAGCTAAGTGGGCCTTCGGCCAGTTTTACAACCCAGAAATATTTTTTGTCAAAGTCCTGGGAGCCATCTCTTTGAAATGTTAGCTTAATTTTCAGGAGCACCTGGCTTCAAACCTACCTTCTATGGTGACGACATGAGAATTTTATTGCTCCTTTAGATAAAGACTATTAGCAAACAAAACAGCCACTCTAATTGCCAGGTAAATTTAGGATGAACTCTGCGTGACAAATGGTGCTGTCAAGTCCTCTCACTTGAGAACACGGGTGGAAGGTGTTGCACCTGCCTGGCTATTATATTAAAGGGTGAGATTTCTTGCTGTGTTTGCAATCTCTTTACCTCCTGTGACACGCATTACATTCTGGCTTAATGTTTACTCAGTAGTAAAACTGTTTCTTTCTCTTCTATTCCGTGGAGAGTTTCTGGGGGCTGACAGGAGATTTTGTTTTTCTTTATACTTCCCAACAGTAGAAAACAGCCCAACTGGAAAGAGCTGTGGGAGAATTTGGACAACCTGAACGATGAGAATTAGTCCCTCACCTCCATTCCTGCATTTGCAGCTAGTGCTCTCCGCGCATCTCCTTGCCGCAGCGCAGATGCCCCATCCGCGGGGACAGCTGAGTCCCGCATCCCTATTTTTAGCCGCCACAACCCTCGTGGCCAAATAACAGGCAAGCGAGAGGTGCAGGAGAGCGCGGGTCCGGGTCCCGCCCACCGCGCGCGCGCCCCGCCCCCGCCCCGCCCCCACGCGCCGCGAGGGAGGAGCCGGACGCGCTGAGTCGGGCGCGCGGAGTCCGAGTCGGGAACCCGCGCCTTGCGGCCGGCGGCCGGCGGCGATGAAGATCTGGAGCTCGGAGCACGTGTTCGGGTGAGGTCGGGCTGCGGGCCACGGTGGGGTCCGGACCGGCACCTGCTCCTCCCCCCAAACCTCTGGGGGTGGTCGAGGAAGGCTAGACCCCAGACCCAGCCCTCGCAGAGCCCGCCCGGCCCCGCGCTGGCGGTTCCCAGACCGCGGCCCCGGCATCCTAAAAAGAGGAGCAGGCCTTGTCCCAGCTAGGACGACGTTAGGTAGAGATCCCGCCGAGTGGTGCAGTCTGTTCGATGGAGGGGCCGCCTGACTGACGGAGGCCCGTGGTGGGATTGCTAAATCCAGGGGGCGGGGGGCGGCCTTTCCTTTGGGGGCTGGCGGAGGGCCGAGCCGCGGGGACGGTTCTCCGCTAGCCGTCGGGGGCCGAACGGTGGGGAGCGGGGCAGTGCTTTCCGCGGCAGGGTGCACCGGTGTGCCGGGAGGCCCGAGTGGACGTGGCCGGGAGAGGACCCGGCAAAGTGATGGTGCGCACTCCGCAGACCACCCGGGAGCAGGCCGTATCTCCGCCTGCACAATGCGCTCTTTGGGCAGGGCGCGCGGCGACCCGGGGAGAACAGAGGCCTGGAGAGCTGGCCTGGTCCGTTGCTGAGATTGTGTAGGGCAATTGAACACCGACGCTAAGTGAGCTCGGGAGGAAGCCAAATGTGGAGAAGGCTTGTGGGGGGGTCTTTCAGCCTGCATGCACTTGTGGGCATGGAAGGCCTCCAAAGCCGGCATGGAAAACTGCGAACTGTTTCAGAGTACTTTGGTGACCTAAATGATACCTCCAAATAAGTCGCTTGATCTGTGACACTATGAAACCATCTTTTAATATTTTTTAAAGGAACAAAGATTTTAAAGATTCCTTGACCCCACTTAAGAGAAGCATTTCATTTCTGAAAAAGAAAATATTGCATGAAATGGAATTGTCATTCTTTGACCTTTTTATATAAATTATTATGTAAAATAAAAATTTATCAAGTGGTTTAAAACCTCTGAAGTTATTTTTAATGAGATCTTGAGACTTTATGGGATCTAGTTATAGTGTTGATTTTTGTACGGCCTGCAGCCTTTCTCGACTGGGGTTCCTTGAAAGATCCAGAGAAAACCCCTTGAGAGAGACTCCAGAGATTCTTTTCTCAGTCCTTCCAAGGTTGGGACATAACTGACACCATCCAGATGCAGAGGGGATAAGTTAAGTCATTGCAAACTGTATGCCCAGGCATTGGGGCTCAGTTTTGTCATTGAACACCTGGGAAGGATTATCCTAGAAGTTCATGAAATGTTGGTTGACAGGCAGAAGTGAATGGTCAGCTGTGGAAAGTCACTATTGATAAACACCCATTTAAAGTGTACAGTTCAGTGATTCTTAATGCATTTGCAGAGTTACACAACCATCACTGTAGTCCAGCTTTAGAACATTTCCATCATCCTACAAAGACCCCTCATGCCCATTCACAGTCCCCCGCCACTCTCATCTCCAGCCCCAGGCAACCACCACTCTGTTTCTATTGATTTGCCTTTTCTAGACATTTCGTATAAATCTCATCATACAGTACGTAGTCATTTGTGTCTGGCTTCTTTTATGTCTGGCACGTATTTTTTTGAGCTTCATTGGTGTAGTAGCCTCTATCAGTCCTTCATTCTTTTACCTCATTCATTTTGTGTCCTTGGCACTCTGCCAGTGCCTGGCACAGAGTAGGTGCTCATTGAGGGGCTGAGGAATCTCCGGGAAACCAGGTGCCCTTGCAAAATGAGGGCAGCTGGCAATCCACCAAAAGAATTCAGTGAGCCCCCAAGCTGTGGGCTAAGTGCTGGTCCTCTGCTCCCTGCCCCCTCCTTTTCTTTTAAATGAGAGAAGTTGAACATTGCAGACAAAAGTTGAATGCCTTCCAGTGCTCTTCCCTTTCTCTCTCCCCACAGGCAGACAAAATTATGAATTTGGTGGGTATCCTTCTGAAGGTCTATGTTGCAAAGGTCCATTTGACTACGTTTATGTGTGTGTGTTCACGTGATGTCCATGTGATGCCGTTTGTTGTTTTAAAATAGGAATCAAGATCACCTGGTACAGGTCTTTTGACCATTTCCCTTTCTTCACAACAGTGTGTTAAGGAGGTGTGTGTGTCTCCTAGCTGCATGATATTCCATTGTATGAATATGTCACAGTTTATCCTGTCTCTTATTGAAAGAACATGACATTCCCCCTTTATTCCACCATATCATTCCATATCATCCACCCCTGTGCATATTTCTGATCCATTTAATCAAGGGCCCATTGGGTTAGTGATTCTCAAACTTTTCGGCCTCAGGACCCCTTTACACTCTTAGAAAATGTGAGATACCCCAAACAGTTTTAATCTGTGTTATATCTATCGATATTTACCGTATTAGAAATTAAAACCAATAAACTTAAAAATATCTACCAATTTATTAAAATTAATAACAATAGACCCACTGTATTAATGTAAATAACATTTGTATTAAATAACAAACCTATATTTTCCAAAAGCACAAGAAGTTGTAAGAAGATTGACGCTGTTTGATATTTTTGTTGTTGTTAATTTCTGGCTTAATAGAAGATAGCTTGATACTCATGTCTGCTTCTGTATTCAGTGTTTTGCAGTCTGTTATTTTGGTTCAAATATACAAATAAAACCCAGCCTCACTCAGTATATGAATAAAACCCATTTGGAAAAGGCAGCAATATTTTAATAGTCTTTTAAAGTAATTGGGGCTATTTGCTGCTATAGCGAGACAAGTGGTAGTTTCTGAAGTTTGTTGCAATGTCAACTCCAAAGCCATAATTACCAGAGTAATCGGCCCGGGTCTTTCAGTCCTGTATGATTTTATGACATTATGCACCAGTCACTTGGCATATATGGGTTCGTCAGGTTTGCAATATGGCACAGTCATCAGGCTCATGGTAGAGGATACAAGTTTTCTAAAATTCCATTCTGCACTCAGAAGCTCAAATTTTCTTTGGCAGCAAATACAATCAGTTGTTGAACTGATAAGTTCACTTTATTAATTTTTGAGAAAATGTCTGCCAAGTGCCTACGTCTGAATAACCAGAGGTCATCCATCTGTTGTTTTACTTGGAGTGGTGGGCCGGAAAGAAGCAGCCACGAGGGCCCCCCCACCCAATAGCTGCCCCATGCTTCCCCAGTCACCATGCACCCACACGTGCGGCTGGAGCATGTCCTGCCTGCATCATGTTCTCTCGCTCAGAATATCAGTAGAGGGGGGACTTAAGGGTCTAATGTAAAATTAATAGTCTTACTATTTCATAATGGATATTCTTTTTTTTTGAATTTTTTTAATGTTTACTTATTTTTGACAGAGAGAGAGAGAACATTGGGGAAGGGCAGAGAGAGAGGGAGACACAGAATCCGAAGCAGGCTCCAGGCTCTGAGCTGTCAGCACAGAGCCCAACACTCTGGGCTCGAACTCAGAGACCACGAGATCATGACCTGAGCCGAAGTCAGACACTCAACTGACTGAGCCATCCAGGCGCCCCATAATGGGTATTCTTTTTTTTTTTTTTTTCCAACGTTTATTTATTTTTGGGACAGAGAGAGACAGAGCATGAACGGGGGAGGGGCAGAGAGAGAGGGAGACACAGAATCGGAAACAGGCTCCAGGCTCTGAGCCATCAGCCCAGAGCCCGACGCGGGGCTCGAACTCACGGACCACGAGATCGTGACCTGGCTGAAGTCGGACGCTTAACCGACTGCGCCACCCAGGCGCCCCCATAATGGGTATTCTTAAGAAGACACTGGCATTGTTTTCCTGAGTGCATGTATAGCAGTGGGCGCTGACCCCAGGTTTGGGTTCAGGGCCTTAATTCACGGTGGGAGGCCAGCAAGCTTTACTCTCTTACTTTTGCAGCATCAGGGTAAATGTCAGTATGGTGAAAAAGGCCAATCATGTCTTAGTAGCATTGAGACACTTTGGGCCTGGCAGAACTCCCCAAAGGGCCCGGGAGCCTCCTGGGTGTGGACCACTCTCTGAGAACCGCTGGTCTGGGCCTAGAGTTGCTTTGGGTGGGTGCAGGGACGTGTTGCCTTGGTTATGGCAAGTTATATATATATTTTTAAAAGCTTGTTATTATGGAAATTTTAAAAGTATGCAAAAGCGGAGAGCTGAGAATAGTGAGTGCCCACTGCCATCTCCCACATTGACAGTCACCCTCTTGCAGCCAGGCTTGGCTTCACGTGTCCCCACCCACTGCTCCCCACCCCCCAAACCCCCCACTGCCGGGTTATTTCAGGCACACCCCAGGCATCCTATAATCTCATCCCACTCATCTTTCTGCCACCCTGGCTGTGCGTAGACAGATGTCTCTGTTACTCCTTTCTGCTCCCCAGTGTGCCAGGTGGGCCTAGTGCTGCCACCTTCCAGGCGCTGCAAGAGTGCTGCCTGGCCCTTCAGTGGTGGCACTGTGCTCTGAGGCAGCCACTCTGTGGTGGGGGCCTCCCACCCTGGGACCAGGTTCCCACTGCACCCCGATCACCTGAAGTGATAGCCAGGTGTGACCTGAAGGTCACCAGGAGTGACCTGAAGCCATAGCCAGGACCACGCACCCCGGAGGATGAATTCCAGCCGATTCCTGTCCTGCCTAACCCAGACCCTGTGCCTGAGCCCTGACACCAGGGCACCTGCCTGCTCAGCGTCTCTCAGGGCCTGGGCCAGTGTGTCACTGGCAGCTCCAACTCCCCCCTTTCTCCTGTCCTCTCCAACACTCCATATGGCCAGACTTCGCCATTTTTGCCAAACAAGTGTCAGGCTATTGCCTTCAACCAGGAAGTGTGTGATACTGACTTGCTGTACTTAACACTTGTTATTTTAAAAAATGTTATTTCCTGCATCTGTTGATGTCTCTGTTAAACGGATGTGGTCATTCTCCTATAATCAGTAGGATTATTTATTATGTGAGTGTCATAAGTGGCTTGTATTTAGTTTAAATCAGTGAGAAAGATATAAGGTTTCTATATAAAAGAAAGATTATTGTGTAAGATTTGCTTAATACCAATATTTCTTCAACTTTTTGATAGTTTTAAGTAATTTTAAGAGGCAAAGCCTATTCTGCTTAAAGCAGGGATTTGTATGGGAACACCTCTTAGGACCTTAGCCTGCAGCGCCCGCAGAGTATTTCGTTGAGAAGGGCCCCATGTAACTAGGTCCCTTGCAGCTTTCATGTGTGTCCGGTTCTCCCTCCTTCCCTAGATCTTGGATGACCATACCCCTGACCTTTCTTCCTCAGAGAGGGAGGCTCGGCGTCTGGGTCCTACAGAGTGATCGGTGCAGCCACATCTCTGCTTTTTCATCCCTTTGTGTTACAGCTAGTAGATGCATTAACTCGGTGACATGATTCCACAGTTTGAAAAAGCATTTCTTTGTTTAAGAGAGGGAATTTTAGACCAGTTCCTGCCAATCTAGAGGTCATGGAACTCAATGGAAAGAACATAGGGTAGGGGGCTGGAAGACCCAGTTCTAGTCTGGGCTCTGCTGCAAACTTTCAGAGCTGGGACAGACTTTTATGAGGATAAAGGAAATGAATGGTCAGTAACTGATATTTTAAAAGGATGTCAAATATGGACCAAAAACATTCAATTTTGTCATAATATTTGATACTTGGTTTAGTAAATCCATTTCCAGGAATTTATCTTAAGGAAGAATTAGATGAATGAAAGATGAGTGTAACCAGCGCTCACTACTGTCTGTATTTTGCCGAGTAAACTAAATAACCCACCACAGGGGGCACCTGGATGGCTCCGTTGGTTGAGCGTCTGACTCTTGGTTTTGGCTCAGGTCATGAACTCGTGGTGTGTGAGTTCGAGTTCCATGTCGGGCTCTGTGCTGACGGTGTGGAGCCTGCTTGGGATTCTCTCCCTCTCTCTCTCCCCCTCCCCTGCTGGCTCTCTCTGTCTCTCTTTCTCAAAATAAATAAATAAACTTAAAAAAAAAATAACCCACCATAGGGAACTGGTTGAATATAAATGTCTGCAGGGTAACCTGTTGTGCAGCTGTTTATAATCGCCTTTCTGAAAATAGGTTCATGATCTAGGAAGATGTTCATCATTAGTTAAATATAAAAAGCAGATGATATGATAAATCTGCCTATGGTTTGAGCCTGATGCCAGTTTAATCTGTTTAAGGTGCGTGCGTGCGTGTGTGTGTGTGTGGGTGTGTCTTAGTGTCTTAGTTTTGAGTCTGGGCTGTGTCTACACGTGCTGTTTAAACTTGTCTGGGTGTGTCTGAAGAACGATGGTGTTGTTGACATACCCAGGGGGGCTTGGGGGCAGGGGGCTCGGATGCCCTCTGGGGGCACACACATTGGAGGAAGGAAGAATTAGGGGAATAAGCACTCAGGGGAAGGGTCCACTCTGAATACTTGAAGGTGGTGCCTGACATCCTGTGGACCACCATAGGAGTTTCGAGCCTCAACTAGCACTGAACAAGCATTGTCCCAGCAGTGGGGCAGCTGTGGACGTGGCTTGTGACCTGATAGCAGGAAACAAAATAAGGACAAAGATATCCACCCCCCACCTCAAAGGCTCAGGGCAAGAGAAGGAGAGGTAGCATCTTGTAGGAGAAGGACGCCCTGCACACGCTGTGGTCATCTTTGGGTAGTGGAATTGTGGATGGTTTTATTTTCATAGTTTTCTTTACTTTTCAGTATTTTGGACACTTATTTTTTATAATCAGAAAAAATAGGTTGGCCACCTCACATCACATCCCACTTAGAAGTTGGAACAAAGTATAGTTGACCCTTGAATAATGCGGGTGCTTAGGGGGTGCTGACCCCCTGCACGGCTGAAAATTGTGTATAACTTAAAAAAAACAACAACTCTTTCAGTAAATGGCCCAACTATCCACACAATTGTTCGAGCCCAAAACTTGGGGCTCATTCTCGAATCCTCCTCTTTCCTTATTTCCAGGATTAGCACATAATTTATCATCCAAATTAGGATGTCTTTGAAAGTAAGAGGGGACACTCTTAGTATGTGCTGTAAGACAAAAGGCAAAAACTGGAACTGTCCTGGGCAAACTGTAATGTATGGTCACTTTTCTTTCTCTCACAATTTGTTACAAAGTACTACTACTTCCTAAATATCTTTTTTTTTTCTTAATTGAAGTATAGTTAACACACAATATTATGTTAGTTTCAGGTGTACCACATAGTGATTCAACATCTCTATATGTCCTGCTAGGTTCACTACAGATGTAGCTACCGAATGCTATTACAGTACCATTGACTACATTCCCTATGCTGTACCTTTCTTTCTTCCTTTCTTTTCTCTTCTCTTCTTTCTTTCAAGTTTGCTGATTTATTTTGAGAGAGAGGACACAAGCAGGTGAGGGGCAGAAAGAAGGAGAGACAAAATCCCAAGTAGGCTCCATGCTGTCAATGCAGAGTTCAATGTAGGACTTGAACTCACAAACCATGAAATCATAACCTGAGCTGAGATCAAGAGTGGGACGTTTAACTGACTGACCCACCCAGGTCCCCCTGTGCTGTACCTTTTATCCCCATGACTTAATTCATTCTGCAACTGGAAGCCTGTATCTCTCAGTCCCCTTCACCCATGCTGCCCATCCCCCATAGCCCCCTCCCCTCTGACAACCACCAGTTTGGTCTCTATATTTATGCATCTGTTTCTGCATTATTTATTCCTTTGTTTTGTCTTTTAGATTCCACATATAAGTGAAATTCTATGATATTTTTCTGTGTCTGACTTACTTCATTTAGCATAATACCATCTAGATCCACAATGGCTCCTTTTTAATGGCTAAGTAATATTCCATTGTACATGTATACCACATCTTCTTTATGCATTCATTTTATCAGTAGACACTTGGGTTGTTTCCATATCTTGGCTATTATAAATTATGCTACAATAAACATAGGGATGCAAATATCTTCTTGAATTAGTATTTTCATTTTCTTTGGGTAAATACTCAGTAGTGGAATGACTGGATTGTATGGTAATCCTAGTTTTAATTTTTTGAAGAACTTCACACTGTTTTCCACAATGGCCTGCCAATTTGCATTCCTATCATGAGGGTTCTTTTTTTCTCCATATTCTCACCAGCTTGTCTTTTTTATTTTAGCCATTTTTATAGACATAAGGTGATAGCTCCTTGTGGTTTTGATTTTCATTTTTCTGATGATTAGTGATCTGGAGCATCTTTTTGTGTGTATGTTGGCCAACTATATGTCTTATTTGGAAAAATGTCTACTCAGGTCCTCTGCCCATTTTTAATTAGATCATTTGGGTTTTTTTGGTATTGAGCTGAATAAATTCTTTATGTATTTTGGATTTTAACCCCTTATCAGATATACCATTTGCAAATATCTTCTCCCTTTCACTGGGTTGACTTTTTGTTCAGTTGATGGTTTCCTGCACTGTGCAAAAAAAATTTATTTGGGGGGAGGTGTAGTCCCAATAAATTTATCTTTGCTTTTGTTTCTCTGCCTTAGGAAACATAGCTAGGAAATTGTTGTCAAAGAACTTACTACCTATGTTTTTCTCTAGGAGTTTTATAGTTTTACGTCCCACATTTAGGACTTTAATCCACTTTGAATTTATTTTTGTATATGGTGTAAGAAAGTGGTCCAGTTTCATTTTTTTTAAGTTTATTTATTTATTTTGAGAGAGAGCAGCACATGCACGAGCAGGGGGAGGGGCAGAGAGAGAGGAGAGAGAGAATCCCAAGCAGGCTCCGCACTGTTAGCACAGAGCCTGACGCAGGGCTCAATCTCAGGAACCATGAGATCATGACCTGAGCTTAAATTAAGAGTCAGAAGTTTAACCGACTGAACCACCCAGGCGTCCTTCCAGTTTCACTCTTCTGAATGTAGCTGTTCAGTTTTCCTAGCATCATTTACTGAAGAGACTGTCTTTTCCCGATTGTATATTCTTGTCACCTTTTTGGTAGATTAATTGGCCATGTAAGTGTTGGTCTATTTCTGGCCCTCTGTTCTGTTCTTTTGATCTGTGTGTCTATTTTTGTGCCAGTACCATACTGTTTTGATTACTACAGCTTTGTAGCTTACCTTGAAATCTGGGATTATGACAACTTCAGCTTTGTTCTTCTTTCTGAAGACTGCTTTGGCTATTCAGGGTCTTTTGGGGTTCCATACAAATTTTAGTATTATTTGTTCTAGTTCTGTGAAAAATGTTATTGTCATTTTAATAGGGGTGGTACTGAACCTGTAGATTAAAAATTATGTACAACTTTTGCTTCCCCCAGAAATTAACTTACTGCCTGCTATGGACTGGAAGCCTTACTGACAACATGAAGAGTTGCTTAACACGTATTTTATGTTATTATATACTGTATTCTTACAATAAGCGAGAGAAAAAATGGTATGAAGAAAATCATAAGGAAGAGAAAACACATTTATAGTACTTTTCTGTATTTATTGAAAAAAATCCACATGTAAGGGGACCCACGCAGTTGAAACTAGTGTTGTTCAGGGGTGGAGCGGTGGAGGAAGTGGAGGACGGGAAGGTGCTGAGTGGGGGTGGGAAGTGGTTCGTTCGGCCAAGGCCCCAATGTCAGGGTGGCCTGTGAGGGTAGCATCTGGGCCAAGAATGCAGACACACTGAACACGGCTGCCAGCAGCCTGAGACCTCTGTGTCCCCAGTGTCCTGCGAGTCCTCCCAGGCAAAGCCTTCCAGTTGCCCCTGGTCAGCCCAGAAGGATCACAAGATCCAGGATTTGGGTGTGGGGCCAGATGCCTCAGACAGATTTGTTTGCATATACCTTTAATTAAAGCCAAAAGAAAAAAAGCTTTTAACGAGAACATTAACACTGATTTTCATTTCACTCTGCAGGCCACAGCAGCTCTGCCCGCCCCCCCCCCCCCCGCCCCGTGCCTCTGTGGCACACTTTACAAATGTAGGGATTGCTTGCTTATGCTGGGTGGTTGTATTTTTCCCACCAGCCACCCATGGGACACTGTCATCAAAGCTGCCATGAGGAAGTACCCGAATCCGATGAACCCCTGTGTCGTGGGAGTTGACGTGCTGGAGCGCAGTGTGGATGGCCGGGGCCGGCTTCACAGCCACCGCCTCCTCAGCACCGAGTGGGGGCTGCCCGGCTTCGTGAAAGCGGTGAGGCTGCAACTGCGTACCCCGCCGCGCCAGTACCGCCCCGCCACACGCACATAGCCCTGCCACACCAACCCGCACATGCCGGCTACACCCGCATCGCCCGGCTGCACCCACGTTGGCCCGCTCACCCACATGCCCAGGCTATACCTGCGTCATCCCCACCGCACCCGCATCGCCCCTGCTGCGCCCACAGCCCTGCTCGGGCTGCACCCCCGTTGGCTCCCTGTGCCCGCATCGTCCTGCCCGGGCCATACCCACAATCACCCAGTTGCACCCTCCTTGTTTCTGCTGCATCTGCACGTGCCCGGCTGGTGCCCATCTGCAGAAGGTGACAGCCTTCCCTGAGAACACCTGCTCAGGACTTCAGAGAAACCCGAGAGGTGGTTTGTTTCTCTGTAAACTTCATTTAATTTTCTATCTCTGTGGGTCCTGAGGTCTCCTGACGTGTGGCGTGGCTCCCCCACCCTCAGCCCTGGCCCTACCCCCATAGACTCCTGCGTCACTCCACGGTCCTGTGTCCTAACCAGATACGCAGACTGGGGGCTCCGACAGGGTTGTTTCCTCACAGCTCTGGAAGCTGGAGGTCCGAGATCAAGGCAGGGGCAAGCTTAGTTCTCCTGAGGACCGCGAGGGAAGGGTCTGTCCCAGCCTCTGTCCTTGGCTGGCAGGCAGCTGCCCTGCTTCCTCTGCAGGTGGTGGTCCCTTGCCCTCACGCAGCTCTGGCGTCTCCCTCTGTGTGTTCTTATCTCTCCTTATAAGGATACTGCTCAGGCTGGGTTAGGGCCCACCCTGATGACCCCCTTTTAAACTTAATTAATTACCTTTCAAAAGACCCTGTTTCCAAACACAGTCACATTCTGAGGTGTTGGGGGTCAGGGCGTCAACATATGAACTTTGGGGACACATTCGGTCCTGACAGGTCTCTTCCACAGAGCCATCGGGGAGGTCATTGACAATGTAAATCTGAGCATGGCTTTCTCCTGCTCATATGGACCCCCGTCCTCCTCTCAGCACAGAGTTTAAGCCCTGGCGTGGACCCAGCATGCCAGTGGGCCCACATTCTCCCTCTCCTGCCATGTTGGCCTGTCACTGTGCCAGGAGCTCAGCGCACAGGTCTGGCCCTGGGAGGTGACTGCAGCCGACCTGCTAAACCCAGAACTCTACATGGTGCCCTCCTTCCCTGGCTTTGCCACCTGGCAGAGGGGCCTTCCCCATGCTCCCCGCCTCTCACTGTTCTTTTCTTCGTCGGGGCATTTATTACTGTCATACGCTCAACTCTATCTGAATCCATTCATTTGTTCAATGTCTGCCTCCACTGCTGGTACAGAGACCCACCGAAGGAGCTGGGCAGGGCCGTCCATGGCTGCGTACCCCCTTGGGTCGTTTGTTGAATAGATAAAGGAATTAATTAGTAAATGAGATGGCATTTTGTGGTTGATGCTACAAAATGAAATTTTTGACACATTACTATGCTAGTTTTGCTTTGTTTTTTAGATTTTGGGAACCAGTAGGACTTTGACATACATCAAAGAACATTCCATTGTGGATCCAGTAGAAAAGAAAATGGAACTTTGTTCCACCAATGTAAGCAATGGCCTAAGATGAGAAAGGTGCTTGGTATTTCCTGGTGATGGTGGGTAATATCTTCATTTAATTTTATTTCCAGCCCACCTTTGGTCTAAGTGATCTTTTATTTTTAATAGAAAGGCTAATTTTACTTAGCAGTATTTTATTTATCTTTTTATTCCGGTATAATAAGCGCATAGAAAAATGCCTGTAATGAATTGTCACAAAGTGAACACACCTTTGTAACCAGGCAGATCAGGAACAGAATGTGACCAGACCCCAGGATCCCCCTTTATGCTTCTTTCTGGGGGGCACCCCCACCCCACCCCCAAGATAACCACTATCCTGACTTCCAACAGCCCACATGACTTTTAGCACTAAGTTTTTTATTTCTTTTTTGTTTTGTTTATTTCTTTTTGAGAGAGAGATAGAGCATGAGTAGGGGAGGGGCAGAGAGAGGGGAAGGCACAGAATCCAAAGCAGGCTCCAGGCTCTGAGCTATCAGCACAGAGCCTGATACAGGGCTTGAACCCACAGACTACGAGATCATGACCTGACCCAAAGTTGGATGCTTAACTGACTGAACCATCCAGGCGCCCCTTTAGCACTAATTTTACAAGCACCTTTTTCCCTTCACTCTTCTCAGAAAAATTTATATTGGCCTACTGCACATTCAAAAAATTTGGGGAAAATGCAGAAGCTAGAAACACGGTTTATTTTATAAAATCGTATTCTATACAAGCAACTTTGTGCTCATTTACCTGGATGGTAACCCTGAATGCTTTTGTAGGACTGTTGATGGGTTGGCAGTTTGAAAGTGCCTTGAGGCCAGGCCAGACTTAGTTTTGGGTGTGGAGGACATGCAAAGGATGCCAGAAGGAGCGGCCAGGGCTGGGTTTCCCTGGGACTTCGTGTTTCTTCTGTTCTGGCTTCAGTAAGTGGTGATTTGAGGATGGAAGAGTATGAGCAGGTGGTTTGGGAAGAAATGCAAGAGAAATAAAACCTAAAACCATTTTTTGTTTGCTTCAAGATCACACTCACAAACTTGGTGTCAGTGAACGAGAGGCTGGTATACACACCCCATCCGGAGGACCCTGAAATGTAAGCCATCGCGTCCTGGGATTGACACGTTGAATTCCAAGGTCAGGGTGGGCTGGAGCCTCCCCTTCCTCAGGCTGCTCAGCCCCTTTACTTCCTGCTTTTCTGTAGGACTGTGCTCACACAAGAAGCCATCATCACCGTGAAGGGGATCAGCCTCGGCAGCTACCTGGAAAGTCTGATGGCCAACACAATATCATCCAATGCAAAGAAGGTATGGATCTCAGTCCCGGGCCCTGTGTGCACCCCAGGTGTTAAGTGCCAGATTTAGGGGGTGAAAGATATAGGTCCGGAAATCCTACTGAGTGCTGCGGCCCTCCATTACCAGCTGAGCTCATGATGGATGTCACAGCATTTTCCACTGGGACATTCAAACCTGGCTGCAGGGAGGGCTGGCCCAGGCCTGAGGGGAAGTGCCCGGTGAATCTGGAACGTAAACTCAGCGGAAGCAACCACTGCTTCCAAGAGCCAAAATAGCACAGGCTCAGTGAACAGAACAAACCCCACACGTTAACATCTTCAGGCAGGTTATTCGGGAATTGTTGTAGTACAGCCTGCTGAATAGGCACCTAGCGGCTTTGGCTGAACCTCTCCTCTGCGAAGTTCCCTGGAGTCAGCTGCCGTCTTTGCGCCTCCCCCCTGGCAGGATTTGGGAATAAGCTTTGTGGAGGTGGCAGGAGAAAGGTTGGATCGCAGGAGGCCGTCCTCCCCAGGTCCCTAGGTGGAGGGCTGCCTTAGTGAGGCGGACACTGCTCACGGAGTCCAGGTTGCCCCTCCTCTCCAGCACAGCTGATGGAAAGAGCTTGGATGTGTGGAAGCCGTTATACGAGTTCAAGGTAATGTCACTCGAATTCAAGGTAATGTCACTCGCCAGAGCAGGGCCTTTGCTATTTAGCTTACCTCACTGGCTGACGTCTTCCTGGCTGTCCTCCCTTCCCCTGCTCTCTCCTGGTTTGTTTTGGTCAGAAGCAATTCTTCATTTTGGGGATCTGTGGGATGCCTACCGTGCTTGGCATAATTTAACTGGAAAGCCACTCACTTCTGGCTCGCATTTAGCCTAGGCACTGATAGAAGAGCAAGTCTTCCCTGTTTTTAAGAAAAACCCCGATTTGAGAAATGTTGGCATTAGCTCGACTCAGTTCAGGGGAGGGCGGGGGGGGGGGG